GTGTACCTAAACATGTGTTGCCTAGATTCAACACAACAAACTTTGGAGCATGTGGTCACACTTTAAAAGACTTCTGCAGTTCATCAAGAAGCCAAAGCTTTGACCATGTGTCCTCAGGTGACTGGTTAGGTAATATTTGTACACTCTACAGAAAAACAATAGGTTTGTATAGAGAATTGTGTAAATATTAGGTATTATGGTTATTATTTGTCTTTTTGCAACTGACAGCCTGTTTAATTGTTGAACGTATGTATTGGTCACTAAATCTATACTTCCATGGTCCTCACCCCTTACATTTCCTGTGAAGGAGGAAATCTCTGCTGTCACCATGGAATGAGAAGGACTTGGATGCAGCACTAAGACTTCTCTCTTCATCCCTCATGAGCAGGTGTGCTGACCTTTGCTATAGAGGACTGTGTTTTGGCCTGCAGGAAGGGTCCCTGCAGCCGTCCCATACCATGCAGGGTCCCCATACTGTGCCCTTATGCAGCACAGCTCGTGGTACAAACTGCACGTGGGTGCTTGGGGGCACTGGGTTTTCTAAGGGGAAGCTGCTGTGAGGAAGCTTTGGCCCATTCATCTTCTCTCTAAGGTGCTCCATACAGCAAACCCAGAACTAATCTGGGCATCCACCATGCCTGGGGAAGAGTCTGCCATGTCATGCAAGACACAAAACTGGGTTTTCTTCAGGCTTGCAGCAAATTTGGGACAGTGCAGGGCTTTGCAGGCTGTCTGCCCCTGTTGGCTAAGGGGTGGGGGTGTTTGCTGGCCAGCATTCCTTCACCCCAGCTGCTGGTGGCTCCAGGGAGTGACACTCCTGCCAGAGCCCCCACACCCTCATGCTGCCCTGGGCTGGCTTCCTCTAGAAGGCCATTGGGCCTGCCTTCCAAAATGAAGCATTTCTTGTCCATCTCAACAGATCTTGGTTTAATTTGGGTGGTGAGTGTTTACAGATTATACCCTTAATAATGCTTCTGTGACAGCTGTTTTGTCCAGCTTTCATCATGATGTAAATGTTTTTCACCAAGGAGCCTTGGATACCTACTAACATGGTACACTTTCTCACGTGTTTGCCAATTTACTTTTTATTTCTCTAGGAAACTACCTGAATTCATAATGTATAGTTTTTGCCCAAGAAATTAACTGAATTCACTATATATATATATATATTTTTCTCTTTAGTTCTCTTTCAGGGTAATGTTTAATCCACTATTTGAAGCAGGTTTTTCATTCTCTTCTCTGTAATAAATTACTAAATTGAAAGAAATGGAACTAAGATCCTGTTGCTTAAATTTGCTGAGCTTTTGTTCTGAGGTTGAACAGTGAATCTTAGAAAGCTTGTTTTTCATTTGTCCTGAAACCTTGCCCCTCCTGCCTCCTTCTTTTCATGCCAATAAAAGGTAACCAGAGACAGCTGGGGGCTCTCTTTCTGCCTCCCTTGAATGGGAGTGTCTTCTGAATGCCTCTTTCATGTACCTGCACAAACCCTGCTCTGCTAAACTGCTATGGCCGAGGTTCTCAAAGGCTGGATAGGTTTTCATTGCCTGCATTTCTGGTCTGAAGCAGACTGAGAGAAATGAGTGTTAAGTAAACACAGTGGCAGCCCTGCCAACGTCAGCATTCCAGCCTGCAGTTTTACTCTGGACCAGGACACTGCCAGCACAGACTTCTACACATCCAGCTGTCAGGGAGTTGTTTTACTTGCTTGAGGTTGAAAAGAAGAGGGATGCATGGCAGAGCAAAGACTGGCAAATCTAGTTTTTATGAGGCTGTTTATTTTTTTCTATAACAAGAGTGTGGTGCCTTATGGATGTTGAATGGGAATTTAATACAGTGATAAAGTAAAATTGTAAACTTACCAAGTCTGTTTTCAGCTGCCTTTGTTCTGCACCTCTAAGCATCTGCAGAAAACATGTTCAACAGCACTCAGATAATTCTGTGAATTTATATATGATCTTATTCAGCACCTTCTGCAGAAACCGATCACCTTACTACAGCTGATTGAAGTTAATAGAAAATGAAGGTGTCTGTCTTTCCATAGCAGGCCTTTTGTGTGTGAAGTCAGTTTTAAAAAACTGTGAAGCACACAGGTTTTTAAGTGAAAGCAGAGGTTTATTTTCAGCTTTATGTCAAGACGATTTTACAAATCCTATGTTGCAGTTTAGAGATCAAGACTTAGGAAACACTGATATTTGACAACAGAGGGGTGTGTATCTGGTGATTTTAGCAGACAGGGCAAATTTCAAACACCCTAACGTCCAGCTAACAGTGGAATTTACACGTGGAAGGATTGTGCATTCATAACTTCCTATATAACAATGTCAGGGTATTGTCTGTTGTAGCAGGCAAAAGAACCTGCACTGGATGAATTAGGCCTTTGTTTGCACAAACACCTAGGCATTGTGTAGGCAGGAAAATTTTCCCCCTTCTACCAAAAGAACCTTATTCCTTTACCACATGTAGGCACTCATATAAATGCAAGACCTTCGCAAGTAAAGACAGATTTATTTAGGAGTGAGAATGTGTGCTCAAGCAGTTATTTTTCAAAAAATATAGTATGGCTTATGCACTTCACTTTCTTCCAGTTGCTGCCTCGTGACCTAGAGAGGTTACTCCTGTCCAAGCTGGTTGTTCAAGGTCTTTTGTTGGGTGATGCTATTCCCATTGCTCTGTCATGCAGCTGAGGTACTGCCCTTCCTGTTTTACTTCCCATGAGCCACTGTCTGTAGCTGCAATGGAGGCATCTTGAGACATGTCAAGATTACCTGGTTAGGGTACCTAGCATGGATGTAATAATGATGACCAGAATAGTGCAGTGGTGATGTTAGTATTGACTTCTCATCCTAATATCTGTTATATTAGGAAGAAAATGACAGGTGAAAAGGGTTGTCAGGATTGTAAATGTAGAAGTACCAATTCAGTGCATATATTGCTCTGCAGTGGTCCTGTGTCACCCATGACCTGTGGCAGACACAGTGGGCAGGCACTCAGAGATGTCCTGTGGTGCAGGTGGGCAGGAGGGCTGGTTGAGCAGAGACAGGAGGTGTGGGGCAAACAGTCCCACCAAACCCACAGTTTTATCTCCATCATGCCCTGCAGTGCCATGACTCCTGTGACTCTTTACGGCAGCACAATTCTGGATGCTCAGAAACATAAGCTAGAGTAGAGTAGCTTGCCCTAATAATTTTCAGCATGAGTTCTCAGAGTGTCTGAAGTGATGTTTGCAAAAATGTGTGTGTAGAGCTACTAGTCTCCAACTGGTGGTCCCAGAAGAAAATTCACATGCAGGCTTCAGAGTGACCACTGATGAAGAATGCAACAGCTTCTTGGAAATGGGATGTAAAATAACTTTAGCAGGGCAGCTTCTCTGTGTACTCAAACCAGGGCTAATACACCTTGGATTTAAAGTGACGGCAAGTATAACTTTCTGAAAATGAAGACCCTTTTCCTCTTTCCCCTTTTTTTATTCTTGCAAGTATATGCTACCACATCATTAGGATGTCTTTTTCGTTCTTTTACTCCTGATTGATGGTGCAGTGTTATTTGTTTAGTCATTATTTTTAGTTTTGTATGTAGCTGTTTGTCTGTTTATTGAAATGAACTGCTACCCTGATCAAAGAAAAAGCATGAAATCCCACGTGTTGCACTATTGAGAGCAACAACAATGAAGCTAACCTTTCACCCTTGACTTTCTTTTAACCCTAATTTTGAAAGACAGTAGCAGACAATTCAGCTAACTTCTTAAGTAAAGGAATATTCAAACTAGCTCGATTGTAATGCAGTGTTCTTTTAAAGCGAATGGAAGGTCTGGGAGTAATGCATACAAACACAGAGGCTGGGTAAGTTCATTACTTTGGAGTTTCTGATGTAGTAATAGCAGTGAAATGGTTAAAAGGCTGACTTTAAAGTGGTCACAATTAGGCTTCAAAGTTAACACCCCACCCCACTGAGATGAATGGGAGCAGTTGACATTTCTTAGTGCTATTGTTTCAGTCTGGCTTGCTATAGCTTCTAAAATAAGACAACAGTACATCTGTTTACATTCTGCTTCCGCAAACCCAGATGGACTAGAAACTTCATTGTTTTTTAAGTGGAAGATTGGATTCTGGAGAATACAGCAATATCCACAGGGTATCTGTAGGAAGAAGAGCTGAAAGCCGCCTTAATCACAGACATCTCTCCCTTCTCTATAAACTTCCATTGTCCCAGGACAAATCTGTAAACTACAGGGGGAAAAATAAAGCAATATATATTTGAAGTACTTTTTACTTACAACATGATGTGCCCACAATAACTTCTCATCAAGTCCCTAGCTTGCAAATTTTCATAAGTGGATGTGATGTTTTGAATTTTTTCTCTTTTAGTAGTTTGTAGAGGGTAAAAGTCTTGCATTTTACTGAATGTGGTAGCTTCTCTTAAGCCTCTCCTAGCAGAAAATTCTTCTGTCTCTAGAGAAGCCAGAGTTTCACCTAGGAGGGTTTGAGACTATGTGTTGTGTTCATATGGGTAGAATCCTTTAATTTACTTCTGAGACCGTTACAAAAAGTAAGATTTTTGAGAGGAATGCTTTGCGTTTTTCTGATACTTTCACATGGGCAGCTACATTAGCTGGAGTAAGATCTTGGGAGCTGGAATGGATTAATAAAGGTGCAAGTGGGGCCAGAATTTGGAGCAGATGGTCTCTATTACCCCATGCCTCAGTTCGTGTAGGGAGTACACAGTGTCCTCTCAGACTTTTGTTGAGGGTCTGCACAGTGGCACACTGCCCTCAGTAGCAGCCAGAGCCCTGTGAGAGCTCCTCTGATAAAAGAGACCCATTAGATATGCTTAGGCTGTAGATTGAAACCAGCTGTGAGTCTGTCGGAAAGATTTTCCTCATTGTGCTTTCATCAGGGTGGAAAGTTTGCAGCTTGTTTTGCATATATATGTATTTTGGGCTTGGTTGCTCTGACTTTTTGAGTCCTAGAGCCTGCCAGTGATAAGAGCTCTCATGCATACAGGGTCCTTTTGTATCCTGGCACTCAGAGATCCTGCCTTCCTTTTGCCCATGGACAGCACAGCTTGTGCCTTGGAAGTGCTGTTGTGAGCTCTCCCAACTGGTGTCTCCCAGATTTCAACCCTGGGTGAGTTGGATGGTGAAGGCAGGCGTGCAATCTGTGGTTTGGGCTCGTGACACTTGTTTCCTGCCCAGCTTCAAGCTGCATTCTTGTCTGACCATAAAATACAGTGGCCCTGAGCCTTGATAGGCCTCCAAGTTGTCTGAGACTACTGTGGCATTTTGAGAGTGTAAACTGTTTCCTCTCTTGTTCTCCTCAGGTCCTGTGTTATGTGGAAGCCTGCAGCAGTCGGGTCTGGATGAAGAAAATACCTCAGAAAACCCAGGAGGAATACTTGCTTTGAAAGTTACTCTCATGAGATTATTTTATCTTTCTAATAAAAAAAATTGATTTAAAAATAAAATAATGATAAATCATGCTTGGGAAACCAATTCCAATAGGATAAAACTCCTACAGTGTAAAGCAAGAACTACTCAATAGACTGCAAGGAGAAGGGCATGTTATTTAATCAAACACAGGGTTAGAGAACAGCATCAAATATGCATTTTTGGTATTTATTTCCATTTTTTCTAGTCAATTTCTGACTGGATTTCTTTGGTTATTGCATAGACTTGAGTTACATCTTGTGCATCTTGTGAAAGATAGATATCCTAATAGAGCTTTCGAATATAGTTAAAATTACTTCAGCAAGGCTACAGTAGGTCAGTGGCACAGCTAGGAAAAGAAGTTAGGCAATGTGTTGCCCAATTCTGTATATTTTAATTAGCAAACTGGCCTCCCTCCCTGAATTACAATGGCATTGTGATACCTAAATGTTCAGAAGTCTAAGCTTTATATACTAACCCTAACACAGAGAATTTCTTGAACAGACTTTAAGAAAATATTGCTATAGCTTCTTTACCCTAACCTGTGTTAGGTTGTGCCCTAACCTGCTTTTTGCATGGTATTCAAGGATAATTTTGACAACAGAATTATCTTTTAGGGAATATAAAATACCAGGGATTAAAAGGGACAGATTTAGACAGGGCAGGAATTTGCCAGCAGGACGATGTTCTAAAACAACTTCTGAAAAATTAACACATTATGGAAATAAGTTAATTTTTTTTAACTTTTTTAAATTGTGCTCTTTTATTTTTCTTTTAGAAAAGAAAATGAAGCCTTCCATTATAGGACTATTTAGTTTTGAGTAAATTGTGTATTTCCCTTTTGTGAATTTATTTTTTGCATGCCTATTGCTCCCAGTTTCTGCTGGTCTGAGCTTGCTTGCCAGCTGGTATTTGCCACTAAGACTCAGAATCATGAGGTTTTCTTTGAGGAGCTTGGTACATTATGGCAGCCATTGTCCCACAGAAAAGGATGAAGGATGCAGACAGTTACTCCTGTGGGTCTCATGAGAAATGCAATAGTGAAAGAGCCCAGCAAATTGAAACAATATTTTTCAATTCATGAATACTAAAAATTCGAATGTCTTCCCAAAATAAACCCGAAGTTTTATTTCTTATTCTTTAAAAAATTCTTTAAAAAAATTATTTAAAAAATCCCAACAAAACAAAGCAGCTGATAATTACTTAATCATCCCAAGTTAGGAAAAAAATGTTGAATAAAAATGTTTTTTATACGATTACATTTCCATATTTTTTTCAGCTCTAATTATGATAAGATTGTACAAGGATTAATTTTATTCTTTCTTTGTCTCATCCTTTTTCCATCCTAGACAATGAAAATAGTTTAATCTAGCAGTTTTTACATTGTGGTCTGTGCACCAGAGCTGGCTTGTAAAACTTTTTCTTTCAGTGGTTTTATTGTTCAAGAACTGATGCTTCCTGTTACTTCTGGCCATGCATTTTTGTTTTGTGAATGAGTATTCTTAGATAAAAGAATAATACTAATCAAGTATATACCTTTTGTACAGCTTTATGTTATCATTAAATAAAAATGATACCAGAACTGCAGAGGTAACAACTCTTCTGAAAGGCTGAGTCAACACGAAAAAGAACAGTCAGCAGTGAATAAGAGAAATCTGGGATGCCTTCACTTCAGATATTCAGTAAGGAAGAGGAAACAGCACAGGTAAAACATAACATGGAGTTTTGCTCTTACTGCATGTAGTTTAAACTTGATGGTATGAAAATTGTGCTTTGGGCTGCTTTTCAAGGAAGGGAAAACTAATGGGGTTTTTGTTCATGGCAGGGACTAGCAAACCAAGTAGGACCAATTACAATTTAAATAGATAAGTGAAAGCTGCATGATTTTAGTTGCTGTGTCATACTGGTTTTTGTTTCCATTATGCCTTTTACAGTTTTATTGTTCTGGTGCTTCATACTTGTGTAGTTTGAAGGTTGCTGTGTACGTGATTAGATTCACTCCCTACTGGGATATAGGCCAAGATACTCAAAGTGATTGTTTATTTTGAGCACCTCAATTTTTTAAGGGTCCAAACCAGAGAAATTTCAGAGTAGGGAAACTCAGTTTTTTGTGTGGTTTGTCTACATGACATGGAAAGAAAAAAGAAGAAAAAATGGGTGTGAACAAAATTCTTGTTCATTTTTCATTGTGCTGGTGTCTGATCTTTGGTTTTCTGAATCAAGCTGACAAGATTTGGGTACTGTTGTCCTGGAAACTGGAATATGTACCTGGCTGTGATCCAGGCTTAAGGAAGTGAAGCTGAGCGGTGACATTACCCTGTCTCTCCATTTCTCTTCCCTAACCTTGATGCCTTAAGTTTTAACTTTCATATTTCTCAGATTCTCTGCTGCTTAGGTGTGTAGCTCTGAGCTTCACATTAGGTGTCAGTAAGCTCCCTTCACAGGGTAGTTAGACAAAACAATCCCTTTCCAGCTTGAGACCAAGGACAACCATTAGAAGCTTCAGGTCCAAAAGAATAAACAAAGAAGACCTGAGGGGAGCAAACAAGGAGGATGGGACTTCATAACCTGAAGCTGTAATTGGACAATTAACCCCAATATGCAAATGGACCAAAACTTATAAAAGTGTGAGGCCTTTTGACCAGTGGTCCATTTTGTGACCCTTTCAGGTCCATCTTGGGTGTACTCCTGGCCAAGCTCTTGTGCTGCCCAAGGTGTCACATTTTAATAGATACCTATTTTATTCTCTTACCTCTGTCTAGTCTCTGTTCCAGGTTCAGCTTCTCAAGGCAGCAACCTCCTAATTGCCCTAGAGTTTTACTGAAGATTTAGATGCAGTCTTCTGGTAAGACAGTGGTGAGATCAGTGCTGAATGTACATGTGGAATAGGCATAACAGCTACAGTGGATATGTATTATAAAGCATAAATAACATATGTATTCCATTTCTCTGTCCATTGTGTGGGTGAATCTACCCAATGCAGGGGTAGCAAGAGGACATGCCTTCTAAAAGGACAGCATGAACACTGGTTCTGTCAGGATACTTGGCTTAGGATTAACTTTCCCCTCAAATTCCTTCCTGCTGATACAGAAAAGTACAATTTGTGTTGCTGAAGTAACTGCATTTATGAGAAATACTTGAGTTGAACTGAAAAAATAAAAAAAAGGTCCTGGAAGCATTCAATTAGGTTCTAGTTTTTTGATTGCCTATTTTTAGGACAAGACATCAGCTGATATAGCTCCTTTAAAAATGCACTTTGCATTAAGAGGGAAAAAAGCAGCATAAGCTGTGAAGTCTTAATTGTTAGAAGTGCAACAATAGCTTAAAAACAGACTGGTTTGACAGCTGGAGGAAGGGATACTTTATTAATAGTTGTAAGGAATGGGTGGTAGGGCCTGAAAAAGGCAACAGGGGATATAAAAAGAAGCCTTGTAACATGAAACCATTGCCAAAATCCCTCTGAACAATTTATGAAAGCTCCTGTGTCACATAAGCACCAAGTTAATACACGGTGAATGGGGTGACCACCTTCTGACTGGTGCGCCTCACTGAAAGTGAAGGTGCACCAGTGCTGCAGCCCAGCTCTGCTGTGGCAGATCCTTTAATGGGCTGGAGATGGGCACACTGGCTCACTGGCTAACAGCCCCTGCTTTTGTGACTCAAAGTTTCTGTCTGGCAAGCCACAGATGACTGGCCACTATACTTGCTGTATAGTCATCACACTTCAGTATTTTACAATCTGATAAGTCCCCTAAATATCCTTGCAACTGATAGCCAAATTGTACTGCTAATATGACCAGAGACATATAACTCCAAACACTCATTTCCTGTGGGAGGTGGCAGGGAAGATCCCCCTCTACAGAGATTTCATGTAATTAAATCTCTCCAGATTAAATCCCCAATTAAAGCACAACTTTAGGATTTCTGTGGCCAAGAGCTGACTGCATAGGAGATAACGGGAATGCAAAATCCCTCTTGTTGCTCCAGCCTCAGCTGCAGAGCTTCTCTGATTCCTGACTGTCTGGGTACCCAGAGCAATGTCCCATATTCTACTATGTCTGTATATGACAGATACAGAACACTTCAATTTTCTATTTAGTTAAAAAAAGAAGTCCTTAGGTATATGTCAATAAACCCCAGAATTTGGGAAAACCTTGGTAGCAGAAGAGCTGCAGTCGTGGGGGATGTTTTGATCTCATTTGAAATCATATATCCATAAAATCACTTTAGTGCAGACTTCCTGTGTCATGCCGTGCTGACTCTGTGTGAGATCTGACATTGTTCTTCACTCTTTAATAATGAGAGCTCGTGAGGGCAGGGAGAGGGGGAACCTAAACAAAAATGTCAGCCTGATTTTTAGCATTGCACAAATTTAACCCAAATTGCCTGTGCCAATCCTAATCCCTCCTTTCAGGTTTGTCCTTTCCTTGTGGGTCTGTGGCAACTCAATTCCTGATAGATCAAATCCAGAAACTTGCTGAGACTGTCAGTATCTCTGGCAGCATCACATGGTGCAGATGACACTTATTATGTTTGTGGTACATGGCAAATTTGTTCTCAGGATCAGAATTTTCTGTGGATGGGGGGCAAATGTGGCTTCTCTTCTCTGCTGCTCCCCTGAGTTGCAAGTGTGTTGCACTGATAGGAAGCATTATTTCTCTTCACTTTAGCTATAACCCTGTTGTTAGTTTTTTTTGCTTTTCCTAGAAGATTGTTTTTCTTTTTCACTAGTGATCCTAGCCAGTTCACAGTGTTGATGGGAATTTCTGTTCCTGCTACTCTGCAGCACATGTCCTTTCTATAGTGTTTATTTTCTTTCTGTGTATTGTACAAAGCAGGTTTCACCTTTGATAGCTATTTTTGTTTGCAAGGGGAACTGGCAAGCTAGGTGTTTTCTTGAAGCTTTTCCTGCGTAACCTTTTTTCTTCACCTTCTTGCCTTCTCTGTGTGGCACCAGTACTGGGAGCAGCAGAGCTGCCAGATGAACTGGCAGATAAGCTTTTGTGATGTGTTTCAGTTTTACTTTGGGTGGTATTCATGAGATATTTCTGAAGTTATAGGGGAAGTAAAAATGCAAAGGTAGATATTGCTCGTGGCACTGATGGGGAGAATTGGTGTTGCTAAGATGGGAGAGGAATTGCATTTCCATGAGATGTTTGGGATTTTTTCGGCTGGATTCTTTCCTTTTCCATGCAAAAGAAATGTTTAAGGGCTTACCCATTCAAATGCTGTGTAGGAATTTATCCAGCCTACTTGCAAAAAGAAGGTGATTGCATCTGCACTCATTGATAATTGCCAGTGTGAGAATCCATTGTGGTAGACTTTGTAAGACGTGATCAGGCAGAGATAAATTCTCTTTAGTGTAACCATGGGAAGATATACACCCACAGCTTTCTTATCAAAGCCATGCTGGTGTGTGACAGAAGGAGGGAAAACACACCTCCTCATCCTGTGTTATGTTGGCATATGTTATGTTATATGGACATAACATATAATAATAACATATGGGCGTATGTCACTATGTCTGTTGGCACAGCCTGAAGTCTGGTGGCATTGGCTCCCCCTTTTTGCTCAGGTATGCTTTTGGTGATTGTACATCCTACCCATGAATGCTAAATCCTGGTTTGATTGCACATGTCAGCTGCTCCATACTGAAACCTGTTCATCAGAATTTCCAGTTTGGCCCGGGGGAGCCTTCCTTACAGTTTTCTAAATGATGAAAAGTTGGTGTTAGAAATGTTTCTAACCATGCTTCTGATCCACAGAAAATATCAGTTACATTAAAGGAAATAATTCAACCTTATTTGTTCTTTTTACTCAGTTTAGGTTTGAAGGGTACGGAGCTGTAAGAGAATATGGTTTTGCTTTGTACATTATTGCTGTTATAATCCAGGAGAAACACACCAGGACCCACTCATTATTTAGCAGACTAGTGAAATTTAAAATATAAGACATCGCACGAGGCTGAAACTGCAGTCCATCTGTAGGGAGACTTCTTGCTGCTGTAGGAGAGGTGATGCTGTGCTTTGGGAAACAGCAAGACCATTGCTTCCAATGTCTAAGGCACAGTACCAGTATACAGGGGCCCACACCCTAATTTTTTTGAGGTAGGCAATTCTTAAAGTTATCTCCCTGTCTTTCCTTTGTTGGCCCTTTACTACTTTTAGGCATCAGCTGCCTTTGTAAGTCTTCTTTATGGTTATATTTGCTAAAAAAATGCAACTGGTTTGGATTCTGTACCTAAATAACTTGACTGAGAACCTACAATACTTGCTGTTCTTCCTCTTCTTCAAAGCTAGACTACAATTAATGAAAACTTGCAAGTGGTTTCTTTAATACACTATTATTTTTTTTTTTAGATTTTTTCTCTTCAGCCTCTCATCTTTGCAACCTGCACAGCTTCCTTGTACTTCCTTGTCTTTCTTTAACCATTATGCAGAATAAAATATGATTTTTCTCCTTACTTAGACTTTGAACCCTTTGAAATGAAATCAAGTAAGTTTGCCTGTACTTAGTTGGCTGGAATCTTAGCAGCTTCTACTGATTTGCTGTGTAGAGAGTGCCATAGCTGATTAAAATAGATTTGATCTTTTGTCTCTAGATCAGCAGGTGATTTTTAATCTACAGCAGTATCACAAAGTTATAAGGTAGCACCACACACTTCCATAGGAAAAGAAAGTAATCACACCTGATTTAGTTTTGTAAATCCTAGTGAATAATGCAGAACATATCTGAAGTGAGTCTGTGAGTGCAGCTAGGCTATTGACTTTCCTCAATTCTGCATAAGCAGAGAAGATAGAAAAATGAAAAGTACTGACAACTTCATCCCTGTCTCTAAACCCAGGACTAAATATCATAAGTGCATATATAAATATATATGTATAGATGCAATTCTGTACATGTGCTCCATCGTTTCTTACTTCATAAGTTATTAATATGAATTTGAACTATACTACTTATATATACACATGATAAACATATGACAAAAATTAGACACAGGCAAAAATGTCTTGCAGAATTTGTGGTCTGAATAACAAGATTTACCCCATATGAATGCCTACGTGTGGTAACTTCAGCTCATTCCTCATCAGATAGTTTAAGTTCATTCATGTCCTAATAAGTGGTAGCTGCTCTAGGAAGCCCTCTAAGCTTTCTATAACCAGATGTGCCACTAGTCAGCTTTCCAAAATGTGATGTCAATGGAGCTGTAGCTGTTTAAAGGGCTATGCAAGGCAAAAAGTGGTATTAGTGGCTAATAAAGGCTAATTCTTCTGCAAGCAACATTAGCTCGCTTCGCTAGCTTGTTATGACTTGAAGTGTCTGGCCATTGAACTATGCATCTGGCTCATTTGTTGCTCTCAAAGAGATCCCACCCTGACTGACAGCTGTACTGGACTGGAAAAAGTAGCCCAAATGAGTGAAAGCAGGGGGACTTCAGTTTGTGGGACTTTAGGACAGCAGCAATCCATGTAAACAACCTCCATAAGAAAAAGAGATGGGTCCTGGCTCTGGGCACTAAATTTCCTTAACTGAGCAGTTACCACTGCAGAATTTTGTGCCCACAGATGCTGTAATCAATTCATGTTATACACAACTATGTAAAAGACACAAATGTCCAGTAACTGGTTGCAGCAAACCTAAATGATCACTAGAAACTTAACTTCCAGTGAATTCCAGATACTGTGATGCTCTAAAGTGATTAAAACAGCATCAGGATAGCCTAAGCTCTGTGGTCATGCATTTCTTTTTACTGACTGGTGTTTTGGGTTAAATGCCACATCAGAGTGTTTTTATTACAAAGTTCCTGTTCCTGCTCAATGCAGCTGTACCTATTCTAAACTCCTTCATCAAAGGCGACCATTTCCTTTTTTTCTTAATCTCACATCAGTGTACCAAGAGCACTTGTCCCTGGCTTCCTTCAGCTTGCCCTGCAGAAAAGCTTTCTTAAAATCATCCCCACATCCATTCTTTCCTTTGCACATGCTTAGAAATGTGTGTGCAGGTGTGTAAACGTGGACACATGCATGTACCTAATCAGTTTCTGCTTCAGTCTTACAGCCTTGTGCGTGGTCATACTGGGAAAGGACTCCTGGAAAAGGTTGCTACCAAAGAGCAGTGAAATTCTTTCTTCCTTGTGTGCTTCCAAATTATTTTAAAGCCTTCTTTATTTATGAGAATATTTATTATGTTTCAAATTTCTGAACTCTGTGATAACATTATGCACACAAATGTGCACTGAGGTCAGAGTGATTATTTTTTCACTGTGGTATTGTTTTTGAAGGTGATTTGACACTCAGTGTTAAGACAGGTCATCCAGAGTTACAGGTTGGTGATGTTGCCTTTTGTGCAATTAAGCCCTTAAATGTTGATCCTGGATTGAGAGTTTATAAAAACCACATGGAAATATTGGTTTATGCTGTTAAGTAAATTTTGGGTCCTAAACATCTCTTCATTATGAAACAGTATTTGAGTTAAAAGGAGACCTTGGACTAATGAATGAGTTTGGCTTCTGTAGCATGCCTATGCCATGGCTTTCTTTGCACCAGAGACTTCTGTGAAGTGCTGACTCTTTGTTTTGGTGACATTGGAAAGGGAAATCTGTCAAGAGAAGACCCATAAGTCCAACTTATCATGGCAAAAATGACAAAGCAGAACTTGTGTAGAAATTGAGGCTTCAAATTGGACTTTTCCATCTGTATTATTTTTGTTCCCTGTGAATTTTTTTTTTAGTAGCCATAGTTTGGTACAGCTTGGATGCCCAGTCTTGTGAGTGGGTGAGAGATAGTGAGAGACAGTAATATAAATGATCTTTGCTTACCAAGGATCTCAGGAAATCATGTAAGGGGAAACTCCCAGTATTTTCTTCTTATACCCAGAGGGATTTTTCTCACACTTAAAAAAAAAAAAAAAAAAGAAAAAGAAAAAGTAAAGGCTATGTGATCTAGACATAAAGAGATACTCAAGAATCTTGTAGAGCATAGTCTAATTTATGTTGTTTAATGACGACTTCTAACATTCTAACATTGAAATATAATGAGAAATTATAGAAAAGAGATCTTTTAACAACAGAGATCTTGTAACAACAGGAGAACTGGAGCTAACATTTGACTCAGAACAAAACTAACCAGTCAAGGATGCATTTGAGGAGGTAAGTTACTTGCCATGGTACATGACAGATTGGTGCTGAAGTGTCCCACTCTGCTCAAATGCCATCACAACTAGAATGTGGCAGGAATGTGTTAATGCTGCAGACCTTGCTCAGGCTTCAGGAAGCAGTTACTCCTCTAAATCTTAAGTATATACAGAAAAGATCTGTAGAAAATTTCTAAAGATACTGTGACTGAAAAGTCAGAATAGTCTGTTTCTTGCTGAATCAGACAGTTTCACTGTAAGGAAACAAACAAATGCTGTAATAATGTAGGATGTGACATCTTCCTGCCATTAGCAGTGTTCTTTCTGTCTGTTTGGATCCTCTAGTAGAATAAATCTCAAGTTCATTAAGGGGAGTGGTAGGTTGGGATGTTTTTCATCCTTTACATATTATGGTCACTGTGGCCAGAGTTGTTACGTGTCCTTCTCCTCTGTCTGCTGAACAAATTCAGCTCTGTATGAATATTCTTGATTGTGTTTTGCTGGTATCACTCTATCTTCATAGTTTCAGCTCTTCTTGGTACCCCTATTATCAAAAGTAAAAATGCTGCTCAAAATTTGTTTTTGCCTCTTCAATCTCCCTCATTTCTTCTACTGTAATGCCACATCTGTACTTTTTGTTTATGCTTTTCTGTCTTTAAGTCTGTGAAGCTAGTTTTGTGCCAAACCACCATGCCACAGCAACAGCCAGCAGTGATGCAGTTGCCCCAGTGCTAAGCTGATAACACAGAGAGAGCTGAAGCATTTCTACTTTTGTGCTTTGAACTTGTTCTCAGGGCTGGTTTCCTGATTTGTCTCATTAGCACTGATTTGCTTTGTACTCTGAGTGCAATTGTTCATTTAGTAAGCGTTAGAGCAACTACATCTCCATTTTCTCCTAGCTTAAGCAAAGCAGCAGTAATGGCCACCTCTCCCTGGATTTTCCTTGGCAAACTTCCCAGAATGATGTGTACTTAATTGTAATTTGCTCTCTGTGGTCAGCAGCAATATCTCATCTTTTAGTATCCCTACAGCACCACTGTATTTAACTCTGTGTGTGTCTGAGGCCTCACCTGATCTTATACAGAGTAACCCTGTATTTCAGTTAGGCCAGAGATGTTCACATTTATTGTTTATTCACAATAAATTAATTCCTCTGTCATTTGCTGCTTCATCTGCTTTTCATGACTTAAAAACAAACAAACAAAAATAACCCACCACTTTCTTTTGGGAAACTAATATAATTTTTCTGGGGAAGCCTTCATCTGTGCATCTCATGTATCTTATTAAAGCTGGTTTTGAATTTTAGGTAGACAAGCAATTTTCTGTCAAAACTCTTCAAAAGAAACAATGAAATGTCCAGACCATAAATCCAGGAATGGCACAAAAGTGGGAATATAAGACCTGCAATATGTAATATGAGTCTTTAGTCCAACCTCCCCTATTTCCACCCTGGTGCTAAATGTACTGCTGACACCCTTGCAAGAAAAGAAACACACTGGGCTTGGACATGAGTGTTTTTGGCAGAGCAACAGGCACCCTTAGTTTAGGCTTAGTTTCATTTCTATAAATTTCCTTGATAATACATGAAAAAGAAATGTCAAGTTATCATATTTGTGAGTTTGGTGGTGAATTTTGGCAAATATCAGATCATCTTAATGAAATGTTGAATTTTAAAGCTAACACTTGAATTAAAAAATATCTTTCATATAAATAAAACTGACAGCTTTCATTCCAGGTACATTTCGTGCTCTCAAGGAACTCCTGTCCTGCTTAAGAAAAATAAAACTTTCATCTGAAGTGAACTAATAACTGTTGCAAAGTAAGAAGGTATTTCCAAAATTTCTAACTTGCCTGCAACATTTGCATCAGCTAAGTCAGCAACCCTTTGCTAGCCACTGTTGGATTATATTTTATGTGGGAGACAGATAATCAGCCCTGTGTGTCCTGCAATGAGCTTTTCCTTACTGTTGGTCATGCGTAGTTTGTTTTTTTCATTTCTCATACCTCACAGAATGTAAGGAAAAGTGGTGTTGAAAAAAGCCAAAGAAACAAATTCAGATTGAAATTCAACTAAAAAGCCAACTTGAATTTTTTTGTGTGTGTAAAAATAGGTTGTTGATATTGAAATATTATTAGCCATCTTTTCCAGATTTCATGTCTTTCTCCTATCCCCGTCTTTCCCATCCAGTTTTATAATCATGCTTGGTCATCCCCAAACTGAATTTTTGGGCAAGTGCATGATTTGCCACTGTGAACAGAAAAATCCATCCAGTGTTGTAAACAGCACCTCATAAGGAGTTTGTGGCAGCTTCTGAAATATATTCCTGTGTTAATGACAGGACTTCTGGTTTTGAACTTTTATATGTAACTCTGCTTTGCTTGGTAATACTTAACTAGGGAAGATTCCTGATAAAAACATTGATTTAGCTATACAGCAAGCTTTTCAAGATCTCTTTTAGAATCTCTTTCTGTTGCCATTCAAAGAATAGTTCAAGTCTCTTTTAAAGGCTTTTGTCTCAATGTTCTAGTTAATTAATTTAAAACTCATCTTTAATGAGTTTTAAAATATTAAATATTGGCTATAAGTTGCTTATGAAATCAAGTAAGTTTTGTTAATATGATTTATTTCAACGTGTTTAGTGTAAACAGTAATTTTCATTAAATAATGATGAATGTATCACAGAGGAGTAATACATTTTCTCCTTTTTTTAATAAGACTTATGTCCTCATGCTGCCCCAATACATGTGGATTCCTAGCACCTGAATCTGCCGCACATCCTGGGGGTAAGGACTGGCATGTGCCACATGTCAGACATGGTGGGCCATGGCTCTGGTTTGGGCATGCCCACCGTGTCTGGTTGTGCATTGCTGTGCCCCTTCCACAGCATCAGCTCTCCAGGGGAGCATCCTTCTCCCTGGCCTCTGTGGGGGACACTTGCCCCTCTTCAGGACCTGCAACGAGGTTGTCACCTCCCAGGGGATTGCACAGCTGTGCACTCGCTGTGTGTGTCAGGTTGAGATCCCAGCTCCAAGGTGAGGAGATAATGCTGCCCTGCAGATGCCTTGGGCAGCATCACTGCAGGGCCAATCACGGTAACATGATGAGAATGATAAATCTTCTCTGTGTTAGACCAGGTGGGATTTATAAAGTTTGTGAAGGTCTGCTTTTGTTTTTTCCATTCTAGGCCCTACAGTGACCTTACTGTTGGCTGATTCCAGGGAAGCCACCTCATTATTCTGACTTGAAATTTCTTCATCTCCAAAATCAGAGGTAAGGATCAAAGTATCTTGAAACAGAGGGATGAAATGTACCATGGTTATTATGATATACTGCTTGCTGTTAATATCAGAAAGGGAGATAATCTGTTCTTATATTCAGAAAGAATTAAATGCCATGAAACTAATGGAATTGTAACAATAGCATGAGGAATGCTGGTAAAATACCAGCATGACATGGCTTGAGTTAGAAGTATTTTATTTTTTGCCTCATGTTAGGAACCACTAATTCTGGTGGCTACTGTAACTTATTAAGAATTGTATGGGAATCTGTTTTCAATATCTGTGATTTAAAAATATCTTGGAATGTAACACTGGAAAACAAAAAGAAAATATATTTCCTGAAATGTGCCTCAATGCCATTTTTTCACTCTCTAATTTCTGCTGTTCTGCTTTTTTGTCTTTTTTTTGTCTTTTTTTTTTTCTTTGTTAGTTCTTTTTTCTTTTGTTCTTTCTTTTTTTTTTATTATGATTTTATACATAATTTCATAATTTTTCTGAAGAACTGATATTTATCAGGGTTCACATGCTGAAAATCATTTGTGTAGTTATACATGCTTTGTTTTATTTTCAAAGAAATTATTAAGCATTTCAAAGAGAAGAAGTCATCTTTCTGATTTCTGTAGAACAAAATAGTAAGGAAACTTGAAGTGTTTTCTCTGTGATTCTGCCACGTCTATAGATTTTTTTTGTAAGTATTTCAACATTATAGTTGAAAGAACCAGATTAAACATGGTAGGGATTTTATAGTTCCTATGGTCTCTACTTAAAGTGCATTAAGCACTTAAATCTCAGCCTAACTAAACTGGAATGGATGCTTCCATTTTGTAATAAGGAAAACTGTGGAGCTACAAATGTCATCATGGCCACTTTTCTTCATAAAGCAGGGAAACAGCTTTAACTCATGGACAGCATCATCTCTGCCCTCTGCTCTTGAAAGTCCAGTGAGAAGAACAGGATATCACTACTGACTCCCATTTTTTAGCTTGGATACAATTTCTTCTGTGGCTTAGAACAAGTTATTTCTTCGTCATATGTTTTAGCTTACCAGCTATATGAAACCTTTGAGGTCCATGTGCTTGCAAAAATGCTTTAAAGAGGTGAGGTGAAAGTTTAGAAGTTCTTTAAAAGAAGCTTCTGTGAGGTCTCAGCCTGCTTCCATATTTGTCAGTGAAAGTTTTACCACAGACTTAAGTGGCCAGACTTGGGTTAGAATAAATTTAATTTACATTAGTCACTTCATGCAGGTATCTGTATTAACAAGGCTTTTAGTTTCTTTGACACCTCATTCAAATAAAAACTTGATTCTCCTGAGATCCTGCTCTGAAGCATTCAGGAAATTAATTAATTGGCCTGATTTTTGTCCTTTCACCCACCTAAGAACATATGTTCTGTCATCCTCAAATCATATGTAAGAAAGCTGCTCATACCCAAAGTGTCACCATAGTTAACTGGTTTTGTCTAAAGGTGGCAAGATCCAGAGTTCCTGAACCTCAAAAAAGAATGATTTCAGACATTATTCCCTTTTTAAAATAAGGGATTCTGGCCTCAAAAGCATCACTGCCCTTAGACATGATATGGAAGTAGGTGTGATGGTTTATAGGCTGTAGATGATTCAGTAGGACTTGAAGGTTAGTCATCCCATCCTAAGAGCACTTTAGACCTTCCAGCAAGGTGTTCTGGTCAGGAGGTGAGGAGCAGCAGGGTGTACTAGCACCCATGTCTGCTTCTGAAACTGATACTGCCAGATTGTCCCTGATAGGTTCAGCATCTACATGGGTCTGTGTACTGCTGTTGAGCTGATTATCTTCTCCTGCTGATTGATCCTGGGGGTCCCATACACCTGTTGGCTTTCTCAGGTATGTGGTGGGGTACCTTGTTGTTTTGCAAGGCTCAGGTGGGTAGCTTGTGTGGCCAGAGGTTTGGCCATATACCGATTGTCCTTAGTTGCTTCCTCAAGGTCACTGTGCTCACCTTCTCATTGAGCTTACTACGGTCTGTGCTTTAATCTTCTGGAGCTGGCTGAAGCAGATAGGACTTGAATGATAACAGGCAGCAGCCCAGCAGCACGAGGTTTCCTGTTGTCCTAATGGCCATGCAAATATTTCATGCAGGAGTGACTTCAAAGTGGCTTTTCTCTAGACTGTACATCAGTGCAGCTGTACCTGAGAGGAGGGTTCCATCAGAGAGCAGGCTTGTCTACTTCTATCAAAGCTTGAAGTTGCATGTTCCAGGTATATATTTAGGTATGTGGCATCCTACAGCATCCTCCAGTTATGAATACAGTGGGACAGACAAATCTAAATGCAAAAATAAGTATCCCAGCAAGTCCAAACTTTTCTCAAAGTCAGCTGGTGGCTAGTGGCTCTTCAACACGGGAGCAATATTGCCAGGTGGTTTGTATATGGAGGTAATGCTTAGCAGCAAATTATCAAGTAGAGAGATGGAGGCACAATAAGAAAACTTGCAAGTACAGCATTCTGATTTGGGAAATTTTATCCTCATTGTCAGGAAAACAATTCTCCTAGATGGACTTGATAGCATAAAAGCACTGTAATTTTAGTAATGTTACTTTGGACATCAGAACTTCAAACCTAAAATGATATGAGGTGTTGGAACAAATCATATCATGAGGTGTTCCAACACCTCATATCATGTATGCAGAGTTTGGTCTTTGTGGCTTCACAGAATTACTCACACTTCCTTTATTTAAGAAAACAACCACATTTCTCACGTCTTAAAAGTGACAGTCCTACAGTGAAAAGAAGAACTAAGTGTTCCTTGAACACAATGTTCCTAATGCATGTGCAGGGATTAAAGGGTTCACAGCTCAGAGGAAATGGCATAGTGGCTAAAAGCTACCTGGGGAAGGTCAGCTCTGAGGCAATTGTGAGTTTTATATTCAGTTGTCATAACACTCCTTCTCTAAAACAGCTTATTTAATTGTCACCACAAGGGATGAATGGCCAGGTGATGCAGTTCTTTTAGAATTGGAATTGGCTGAGTTACTTTTCTTGGGTGGAACTGAACTAGAGAAATGGTCAAAAACATTTGAATGGTCTTGGCACATTTGGTACTGTGTAACTACTGACAAAATGTAAATAATTACATGGTAACTAGAAAGATGCATGCCAGGTTAGTAGTGTGAGAATGCCTTGGCAAATTAGACTAATGACTGCATGGGATACATTCTGGTACAGCTCCCACTAGTCATCTGAGCATGTTTGATTGGAATGTGATGTATCTGGAAGCTTGAGCAAACACAGTCTGACCCAAGTGCTCATCCCGTTAATAGAAAAGACTCCCAGAGTCATACTATCCTGACCCAGCTTTCTGTGTGTTCATGCATCCTGTTTTCTGAGCCATGAATCTGCAATGACCAGTCCCTTGCAGTTAGTTGTTCAAAGACAGGATAAACATGTGTTTAGAGGAATTTGCAAAAGCTATCAGATGCTCAATACTTTTAATTTAATTAGCATTTTGTGAAAATCCAACCCAGGGCTAGGTCTTCCAGAGAATTTCTGTGTTCTAATGCACCCAGTAGAATTTATCCAGAAAAGATGTACTATACTCTGCCAAGGACCATGACTGGGTACCTTGGGAGGGAATGTACAAAACTCTGTACATAACAAGGAAGAACCTGTTCATGGGTAGGAATTGTTTGCAGGAAAGGTAGACTTAGCTCACTTTACCATTTTCTGCATTCAGGTCACAGTTCAGCCTCCTTTATCTTGGGGTTCTCAGCCATGAACTGAGTGATGCAGCTTGGTGCTGCACGGCTAAGAGTCTGCTGTAGGTATCCAATGCAGAAACATCTTCCCAAAGCATTTTAGCCAGTTTTAGATCCCCCATCAGCTCCTAAAAGTACTTCCTTTTCAAAAATTGTAATTCACAGCCTACTGTCCTTTTCTCCAAGTTGTCTTTATTCTCTTTGAAATAAATCTCTCCTTCCTTGTTCTTTACTTAAGTGTCTTGGAGTGGTTACAAAGACACCAGCCTCCCAACTCAGTGACATTACTGATTCTGAGGTACTGTGCAATTTCTTTGCTCTGTAGAGTCAGTCTATTCAACTGTTGTCTCAACAATCAGCGTCACTCTTTTTTGCAGCACTGATATTTTTCAGCTCTGCACACTCTTACATTTTCTAGAATGATGAAAGGTCCACATAATCGGCTACTGTAACAATTTATACAACATAATCCACAGGAATATACATAATGAGAAAGGAAAACTTTAGTCTTGTTTATGGTCTTTTATGGTTTTATGCTGAAGTACTGTAAATGGTATTAGATACTTTAAAAAAGTTGTCTAAATCTTGAACTATGTAAGAAAATTGATGGTAGGCTTGTAAAATAAGGCCCATGGTATGCTGTTGAGATTAATTCAATCTTATTAATTCCAGGAAGTTTAAAGCGACCTCTTATTGTCTGAAACAGAGAGTCAATGAAAATGAGATGATATTTGATTATTCTCATTAGTTAAGCAAGCAAGCATGAAGTGGCTCGAAGCATTGTGAGGAAAAAAAATAGAATTATATATCAGGGAAAAGTTTATAAACACAGCCAAGGAAACCAGCTGACAAATGAACCTTTGGAATCAGCACTGCTAAACATATTCAGGGTTCAGCTAGACATCCATCTATCAAAAAAGGATAAAGAAATCAGTCCAGCCACAATGTAGGGATAATACAAGAGAGTTTCCTGCCAAATTTCTACCCCAAATAATGTATGATTTAGTTGGAATGGAAAAGGAAAGCACTTTGTCTTGCTAGATCTTTCACAAATAAAATTTTCTTTATTCTGAGGTGTGTAGGTTTTGCTCTAGTTTCAGACACACAGACTCTAGCTTAGAATGTTTTTATTTTTAAAATTTAAAAATTGATATATTTAGAATAAAAAACTCTTAGAATGAAGAATTGTTTCACAACGTCTTTTTTCACAGCAGTTTTCCAGATTTAGTCAGATTACTCATACCAAGCCTGAGGAAAAACTGTCAGTAAGGTATTTATTTTTTGCAGGCTTAATTAGAGGTATGAAGGCTGGTAAGACTGGAGGGTTAGGATAATAAGGTTATAAAGGCATGGTTAGCTTTTTGCCTCTATGTCACTACTTCAAATACAGGCCAAGAAGGATATTTCCCATTCATTACTCTGAGTTACTGTTCAGATGGGTGGTAATGACCTACTTTTAGTGGGTAGGCAGGCAACACTCATACAGTGGAGAGAGTTCAAGACTAAACGGATATTACTGCTCATCAAAAGTTGGGGTTCAGATTTTAAAGCATATCTTGACATTCAAGCAGTTGCTTCTTGCAATTTTGAGGAGTTTGAAAGCAATCACCTTGAGCTGAAGTAAGGAGAGTTAAGACACCTAAGCTCTTTACAGAAAGCTAAGTATATGTTTATCTGGAACACTGAACACCTTCAAAATTGTAACTAGAATCCTCACCAAGTTTTCCATGAAACTGATTCACCACTTTTCCATGCAGCCTCAGTAAGTGTCTGATTTCCCCATTGTTTATCCCAGAACATGCTGTAAAGGAGAAGATGGATGGCGATGCACTGGCTTTCAAGTGCTCTGCTGCAAGCACAGTCTCCTTTCAGGGCAATGTCTTCCAAAGCATCAGTCATATCAGAGAGACCAGCCTGGCACAGAGATGAAGCAGATACAGTTTTAAAGAGGCTGTTTCAGAAATAGAATTAGATTTAGAATAGAATAACAAATGAATCTTCAGACTGAGTACTGAGTTTCTACAGATGCAACACAGAATTCAATATTTTCAAGCAATAAATACCTTGCATTCCCTAATTTATACTGTAAAAATTAGTGCTAATTTCTAAGATATGCTGTAGAGTTGATCAAAAGCAAGCCTGCCATGTTATCACTGCATTATGAAAATGTCACATGACCTAGGAAAGGGAAGTATGAATATCTGCTATCTGATGTATACAATTGAGAAGGGAAAATCACAGAGTAAAATCATCAAGCCACATTAGCCAAAGAGAACAGATAAGTCAGGGTATAACACTGGAACTGTAAACAATCAAGCAGAGATTACATCTGTGTGGAAATGTGCATGTTTTTCACAAGTGACCTAAAATTTTGGCAGTAAAAAATTAAAAAAATCTAGCACTGTTTATCAAAGAAAATTTTCAAAATGCTGTATGGATAGGATAATAATCATTAATGTGCATTAAAAGAATGCTATTTTTGGGTGTCACTTGAAACTTCTCTACAAATTACACAACTTAGAAGCAAGGAAATTAATTGTCCTGGGCTCTGATTTGGCTCAGGTACATGTGTGTGTTTTCTGCCCTTCCACCCAGCTTCTTGCCACAGCTGTGATGGCATCCCCAGCTGTGTCTCACAGCTCTCACTGCTGCCCTACCAGCCTGGCCTGGTACCCAGCACACACTTCTCGACTAACACAGGCAGCAGCTCAGGCATGTGCTGGTCATCTCCTCTCTCTTCCCTTCTGAATGTTCCTGTGAAACTGCATGTGCTTGCGTTTGTAAATACGGATGCCAAGTAAAGCTCTAGAAACATTCACCATCAGAAAAGTTGCCTTTAAATGTGTCAGAGTCTCTATTTGCCATGTTCCTTCCTCCTCCACCATCGAGAAAACACGATGGCAGGAAGAGTGCACCATTTCCTCCAAAGAGAACCACTGCTGCTCTCACTATCTCACAGCAACCTAGAATCTGCTCTTCCAGTGTGCACGCACTTTTAGCTGCACAAAATGTGGGACTGACCTGTACATTTTAAGTCAATGAAATAGGACATTTTGGAAGAGGAAATAGTCAAATTAGGTTATCACAAAACAAGAGCTTTTATAGTTGACTGTTCAGGCAATGCTTCTGACTGCTGAGCTAGCTCTTAGTAAGAATGTGCAAGTTGTGCTATTTTTACTTGCTACTTGTCTAGTACTGGACTTGTTTGCAATAATTTATTCTTGCATATAGAGGTATATATCTAGCAACAAGAATTTAGGGGAATTTTCTGTAGCTAACAGAATTGTCAAAAGAATTCATTGAGAAGGAAGAGAGAATACCGTGCTAAAGGAAGCTTTGAGTGGACTTTAGAAAAAAGGCCCCAATACATTTGACATTCCCTTCAAAATACTTACATTTTTGCCTATGAAAAGCGCACTTCATTACCCTTGTCATGCCACTTCATAACTTCTTGTTAACTTGTTGTACTTTACCCACTTATCTAGTTCAGTGGTTTTTATTCCCTGGTTTTCAACCACTACCCTTTCCCCACTTTCAATCTTTGCAGTTTGCACTCAGACACCATCTGGCTTCACCCCCGGGGTTTCCTAGACAAGGACAATCTAGTTAGCCTTGTGAAATCCAAACCTCAGGCAAAACACAAACTGTAGAAAACTTCCACAAGACAGGCTTTGTCACTACTCTGTGACGGGCAGCTCCATACCCAGAGAAGCTGTTAAAACAGAAATCACAGATTAAGCACAAAGTTATCTTCTCAACCATCCTACTCTTTCCCCCAAACTTTTCCTTTCAATTTACTGCAATTATTGCCAGTCTTTTCTGGTCAAGAGAAAGTTTGACCTCTGTGTGTGTAATTACAGAAGTTCAGAGTAGAACATCATGTAAGAAACTCTCTGTAAAATGCTTGGAGTAAAGTAGATTAAGAACAGATTTACTAAAGAAATTAGGAAGTCATTCCAGTGTTCTTTTCTGTTCTAAATAACATAGTGAAAATAAATCTCTGAGGCAAGATTCTGGACAAAGTCATTCCTTTGAAAAGAGACCACAAGATTCCTGGTCTTCTTAAGGAGAAAACAGAAAGAATTGGTCTTGGTTTGGGACTCTCTAAATGCTGATCCTTTTGAACAATGTGGACAAGTACAGAATGTTGTCCAATGTATTCATCCTTGAACAGAAAGAAATCAAATTACTCTGTGCTCTGACTGTCTCATAGGAGCAGAAAAAGAAAAGAACCCCTCCCTTTCTTTTTTATGTTTGCTATGCTCCGAAGTTTCTAAATGAATTTATTTGGGTAAGGCATCTGTTTTGCCCTGAGAAATCATGATCCTGTTGCACAGTTCAGTGGTTTTGAGCCAGATAGTCTTTTATTTCAGGCTTTGGGAATCTAAAATTAGTAGGCAAATGCATATCTCTATAGGAGCATTTCACTAGTAATGGCCATAGAGTGAAGATTGAGGTAAGTTCTCTACAATAACACAGCCATCCCAACTTCTAACCTTCTTCTTGTAACCACCCAACTTCAAGATTTCTCTTTTTCATTGTTGTATTCTGTTCTCTCTCCTGACTTCATAGTTACTCCTGTGTGTCTTCACAGGAAGAATGCACATCACAGTCCTGCTCTGACAACATAGGCCCAGGGAAATGAAGAAGAGCAATTTTTCCATTATCGTAAACTGCAAAAAGGTAAAAATACAATCATCCCCTTCTCTGTTTGGTAGTCAGAGGATTGAAGGGGAGAGCATATGGAGCAGTAGCTGGGTACCAGTGTTATAGATGTTAACTTCCGATCTTGTTAAATGTCCTGTGAAATGCAGATTATATTTCTGTCTGCCTTCAATATGACTGAGGTTTCATGATACTTAGATGATAAAAGACTCTAATGTAAGAAGTAGGTAGCATATTAGATACGCTTTTTTGCTTTACAGTGTTCCCCAGTGAAAACCACAATTTCACTTTGGTTTGATGAGCATGTCATGATGGCATTGTGGTAGGTTTACCTTTTGAAATGATTGAAGAGTAGAAGTAGACTGTGTACTGTTAGCAGGGAGCAATGTCTGATACCAATTATTTCAAATTTTGCAGTCCAGAACTGGGTTTTTGTTATATTTTGAGGTTTCTTCTAAAATGGTGGCCTTTCCAGTCAGCAGATATAAGTCTTGCCAGTGTTCTTGTGTCAGTTAACAAACTCAGTTATTTATAAATGTTCTTAGATGTGTGACCTTGAAAGGATGTAAGATATAAATCAGCAGTCTCTGTTTCTAATCACAGTGGATGCACAGGTTCCTTTTGAGCTGTAATGAAGAAGTTTGGAGCTGGAGACTACAAATATTTGAAGTAATTTTGATGTCAATTTTTCAAATTTCCAAGGTATCTAAGATGTGGCTAATAATAATAGCAGGCATTGTCTGTTTCTCCCAGCATGTGGCATGAAAGTGATGTGGTCACAGAGCTATGCATTATTTACATGGTGTCATCATGTCAGCAAGTGGTATGGCAGAGAGCCAGATTAAATCACTTCTGATTTTAAATACAGGACACTGAATAATAACGTTGTGTCACACTTGAGGACACTGGAATTTGGCAAATCAGCAGCAGCTCAGTGTGTCAAGCTCATTTGGATGGCTTCTTCCCTTCCTGAATAATCACAGAATCAAAATCAAAGTTCAAGTAAATTGTATAAAGTTGGCATTTTAAAATTTCCTCCCAAAGCAAAAGATTGTACCCAGGAAACAGACATTTTTTTGTTTGTTTTCTATAAAGATGTGGCATGAGGTCACTGCCCTCATGCAGGAATGTTTGCACCTGAGCAATGGTGCATGCATGGTGCATGCTTGCCATTAATCTTTGTTGTCTCTGTAAGTAGCAATTCTGGTATGATTACTTTCATCCATTATTTTTTTTGTAGAATCTACTGCAACAGGTCCACCATCTCAAACAGGAGGCAATCTTTTTAAGAGGCAATCACATCATGTAGAATAGGAGATTTAAGTGTTTGAGGTCTTCCAAGAAAATTTTGGGTGCTGTTCTCAACCATTTCTTCTGCACCAGTTCTAATTTCTGTATAACTCCTAGAGCTGGTTCACCTTGCCAGCTGGTAGGAAACCAATTCAGCAAAATAAAAACATGGATAGCTTTCTGTTGGTTTAGTAATCCAATTGCATTCATTGAGGAGCCATGTGAAAATCAGAAAGTGGAAGGGGAGGAATGAGCCTGCATGTCAGGGAAAAAAGGATGCAAGGGAAGTGAAAGGAGCGGAACTGTTAGATGAATTTTACCATATTGTGAAAGCTCACCCTAGAATATTTAAAGAGCAGGGAGGGAGCTTTTAGAAGGTTAAAAGAAGCATCCAAAATACTGGGATTCATTTTGTCTTGTCACCATAATACCCTTTTTATGAAGCTAGAAATATGTATGCTCATAAAAACTCTTTGCTTTTTTTATTTTAAAATATAATGCAACCATTGGAGTTTGTGCACAGTTCTTTCAAGTTAAATGCTTAGTTCAACATTCCACTTCCATTTCCTGGTAGAAAATGTTTTATATGAAAGCAACTTTAACCTTTCAGAAAGGTTCATTTACTGTTACGTTTGGTATCAGCTTTCCAAAAAATGCAGTCTGCTTTTGGCATATTACAGATTCTGGTTTTAATAGTGGTTTAGGGGGAAAAAAAGTCATATGGCATAATTCAGAAATAAAATACTGCAAGAGAATTCTCTCTAAACATGAATGCACCCGGTGAGTGAGTGGTTTAAAGTCAGTTTGATCACTTAAAGCCAAGACATGGGCTCAAGTTATCTATGGACCAGCTGGTAACAAATAACACATTCAACTCTCAGTCACAGGAAACTGTTAGGTTGCCTTTTTATAGACAAGTACAGCTCTACAGCTCCTGAAGCACAAGGGAATATCATACGGACTTGGAAAGAATTGAACACCTACCATATGCACATAAAGAAGGGTAATAAAGATGAAAGGCCAGAACAGAGCTTTAAGTTCTATTTTTCTTCTTTTGATTTATCATCTGCTTCTGCATTGCTAAAATTTTCTTTGGACTAAAATTAGGAAGAATATGCTTGAATTGCTTAGTTTGATCAAATCAGTCAAACTTAGGCTTCCATCTCACCAGTGTAACAGATGCTAAACATGAAACTTTAAAGTACATTATTGCTTTCTTTATGTCTTTATTGTGCATTCATTTCTGAAGTGCTGATTGCTGTAACAATCCCCTGCAGTGGGCAGTTCCTGACCATGGGTTGCTGTGGTTATGGTGAGATGGGCATTGAGCTGGTAGAGCTGTATCAAGGTGACTCTGAGCTAGAGTGAGGGCTTACTACTTGGGTGCAGTGCCATATAAACATATCTGAGTCTCCTTTGGGACCTCAGCAGCTCCTCTGCAAGTGCTTCAGGACTATCTCAGCTGTCACGTTGGCTCAGGAGTCACTGCACTGTGGTTTCTTGCCATGTACGGATATATTCTGGGAGTTATCTTCCACAGGAATTCTGCTGTCAATAACCACTTCTTACAGAAGAAAAGGACCTTCAGACAGGCCTGGCCATGAGTGAGACAATAAAGGCTAATCCTCTGTGCTGCTGAACCTCAGCTTCTAATAAAGAACTCAGAACTTGTAAGCGTAAAGCTTCAAAGTAAGTTCAGATTTGCAGAGGGAGGGCAGATAAGGGGGTTGTAGCCCACCCATCAAGACCACCTGGTCTTAATAAATGGTAGCAGTCAGCCTTTGTGCCACATGCTCTTTCCATATCCTACCCTTCTTCCAGGGAGTGAGATTACCAAGAATGCTGCTGGCAATGTATGTGTCAAAGTCGGGTGCACTACAGAGTCTGCCATCACACACAATGGTTTTTGTCACCCCTGGAACTACAGCAGCTGAATCTGACCACGATGCTCAGGAGCTGAACCTTAGTAAAATAACACATAGGGTATTTAATATCTGATGATGAATGCACGTCCAGTACTTTGAAGATGGAAAGATCTGCAAAAATGCAGACCATTATTTTATCTGGAAATGTGTACTGTGGCGTTCCAAAGAGTATTCATATTTCTTATTCCTTTTTTGTGCATGTGCAGCTCTCATGAACTTTCAGCTATGAATCCGTATGGGAATAATTTCATTGTGAGAAGGCGGCTTCCATTCTATCCTGAAAAAAAGCTGCATGAAAATCACAGAAAGCTACAGAAGAAAGTACCAGTCATTGTTTGAAAGCATTGTGGCCTATGGAGATGGAAAACAGAACATGGATTTGCCTCCAAATTTTATAAGCTTCTGGAAACATGAATGAATGAGAAACAAATGCAAAAATTTGCTTTAAAAAAATTAAAATCTTAAATCCTTATTGCTTTTACAATGAACAGACCTGGCAAAAATGTTAACTATCTTGAGTATCAGTGTTTAAACAGGTAGTGGTATTCCCAGTATTTTCTGGTTGCCAGCTAGATTAGTGTTATTCCTCAGATGACAACAATGAAGTTATCAGCCACTGGAACAAATTATGAAGAGGAGCAGTGAGCTTACCATTTCTTGAAGTCTGCAAACTGAGAGGGGTTGGTATGCCTTAGCACACAATGGATACACAGCTGGGTGAAATTATTTTCTTGTGCTACAGAGAAGTACATGAAATATCCTATGTGATCCTTTCTAGCTTTAAGAGCTATAGTCTATAATTTCACAAAAACCTTACAAAGAACTCTTAGAAGTAGTGATAACCAGAGCACTAATCTGAATGCATCTTCTGATTTTGGGTTGATTATGCCAAAGTATTAAAAAAATTACAGACCGTAATGTTTCTACATGTTTCTATCATGACAACTCATATTAGTAGCATTATTTTACGATATTGGAAATTTGGTTTTGGGGACTAAAGAGACACTTCCTCTTCCCAGAAGAGTAGAATGTACTGTAGTTCGTAAAAGGATGTATAAACAAGTAAGCATGCAGGCTGCTGTTGCCCGACCTGATCTATTGTAGTCAATAAAATAAATAAACTAGGCTCACTCAGTGAAATAAAAGACATCCCATGAAGAAAATCTGAGGATATTTCTCACTATTGTAGATGACTTTTTAATCTTAACTTCCATTTTCTTCTCCTTGTAGGATAACCTAGCACACTGTTTAAAAGAAGATTTTTCTTTTTTTTTTCCTCTAGAAGTTCTACGGTTGAAAACAGCTTTTTTTACGCCCTCCAGATTTCAAGAATTTTGGGACATCAGGCACTGCAGAAACCTGAATTCAGTGGGTCAGTTGAAAGTTTGGTAAAGATGTGCTTGAGCGAACAGCTGGACATGAGAAGAACTAGTTCTTCAGTGCTGAGTGGGTTTGGCAGCACAGCTAGGACTGCATAATTGGGGTGTCCTTGGTTATCCTAGAAAAACTGAAAAAAACCATCATGGTACAGCTTTTCAACCATTTCAGGGAAAGTTGATGATTTTGTATCCAAAATGGATATGCATAATTCCAGAGGGAGTTTTTAAGATTTTAGGTTGTCGTCAGTGACTAGTTACCTTTGTGTCTGTGTCTAAACTCCCTTAGCGGCCATCTTCTATATACATATGTTGTGCCTAAATAAATATCTCAGCTGTCCCTCAGGTGGAGGGCTGTCATCAAGGCTTGCTTTAGCCAAACACACTGTGTCAGTCAGATACAGTGATGGGACCACAAGATGATAGAACCCAGAGGAAATTTGATAGTTTGTGCTATAGAAGCACTCAGATTGCTTTATCAAGCTGTATTTTCTGGTCTTAAGTTTCATAAATTTATAACCTGAATTGATTCAAATAAGTTCAACTTTCTCTTGTTACTGTGCTTTGTGCTTTTCTGAGAAGATGATTGGAAAAGATGCATGCTGAAAAAAAGACGAGTTCAGCCTCTAACTGATCTTAAGTTTTTAAAATATATTATCCTTTGAAAAACCCCCACAACCCAGTTTGCCATAATAGTTCCAGCATCAACAGTCACTAATCTATTTTCCATGCACTGGCTGTAGTAAAATATAAGTGTATATATTTAATGCTTTGATTTCATTAATCTAGAAGAAGAGTTTGGCGGTGTTTTGGTTGAAGTAACTCCTCAACTTTAGTCCCTAATGGCTAGTTGTGTAGTTTTTGTCCAAAAAAAGCATAATACTATAAAAGATACTATAAAAGGTCTTTAACATTTAAAAGGTTGGGGAACTAGACTATATTTCCATTCATCAGGGGGATTCTCAAAAGTAATTTTGGAGCTGCACTGCAAGGAAACTGGGAAGAGCTTGAAGTGCTAATATTCCCTTTGCTTTGTGAGTATACAGAACAGTTTTCTTGTCCTACAAGTATTTTGTTGATTTTGAAATTTTAGGCCTGGCATGGGACTCAGTGGATATATGAGTGGCCTAAGAAACAAACAAACGTATTTCATTTTAATGGTGACCCCTTTTTTCTTTTTTTAACCTTTTAATATAAACTAAATTAAGTTTCAACAGGAAAAGATGCTTTCAAACACAAACCCAAGAGTTTTTGTTTTAAAAATGTTGAAATGACATATTTCTAGAATTTCAAAATCTGGGGCTTTTCCTTTTTTTTTTTAATTTTTAAAGAAATTTTTTTAAGGACAGGAAGTTCTTCTGGGAATAATTTCAGTTTTGATGAATTGTCAGTTGTTACTGTGTCTCGTTATGAAAACCCTGTCTTCACTTCCAACTCTAAACCCAGGCTCCCAATACTTTCCAGAAGTCTACAGTATGATCACCTTAGCTGCTTTACTGATGCATTATAATGAGACATAGATTTTGGGCAATTGTCTTTCTTCACTGCTGCAATAAGACAAGGGTGAGAGTGATCTGATATTATTTGAGATTCTTCTTTCTCTGTATCTGCTTGAGATTGGAATAGTTCTGTGGTTTTCTTCCTAAATTCCACATATATGGTGTTTCATGTCACTTTTTCTTCACAATTTGTAAACAAGTAGATGAAAGTTACACGTGTGCTAGAAATTAATTTTGTGTTCTCAGGGATGAATCACACTTCTGATGAAAGCAGTTATTGGAAACTGCCCATTTAAGTACAGGTTTATAGCTTTTCAGGCTTGAAAATGTCTCTACTCTGTTGTTTCAGTCTTAGATGAGAAAGAACTAAAAATAACTAAAGTAGATACAAAATTCAGCTAATGTGTTGTATCATAAGTTTTCCGTCAAAAATGGTGAAGGCAGTGTGTAGGAATTCCTGTCTTTTGTGCGGTTTCTGTTGCATTACTTAGTCACAGTAAGTTTCAGCATAACCCATTCTGAACCTCCAACGGTGTCAAGGATGTACTTGTAGATATATTTGCATTCTCAGGTTTCTCTTTATATTTTCATTTATTTTCTTTCAAGCAAAGTTTTGAAATAATAACAAGTAAGCTGAGGTCCTTTTTGAGTCTGATTAACATTGCCTCTGGGATCAAGATGTCTTCATTGCTAGACAGCTGAAAGGAAATGCATTGTCTCCACTGAAGTGTGTCTGTATATCCTGAGGAGGATATATTTATTATGAGGAGAACTCTTCTGAGCTGGAGGAATTAATAGTGGTCTCTGCAAACCATCAGTACTTCTCTGTAGTCCCAGAGAGGAATGATGCCTCATGATGCATCATTTTCCAATAGTTTTGAAAGATCTATTCCATAATCTTTCCAGCTTTGGAAACCAGAGGTCTTCTCTATTTTCTGTGCCAAGACCTCCTTCCAGCCATATTGCAAACTGGCAGTGCATGAAGAGCAGCTAGTGGAATTAGCCTAATATATGACAAGATGAAATGCCCCGCTCCTATACTAGCCTTCATTGTCACAGAGCATTCTGTATTTCATCCCTTGCTGTCTGTGCTAATCAGTAGCACTCTTTTGCTAACCGGTTCATTTTGCATTGCTTCAAATCCCAAATTTGAAGCGTAACACCAGTGTTATTTTTGGGCTGACTGAGCACCAGGCATTGTAGAGGACCAACGGAGAGATTTCGGCAATGGAGTAGGGACCAACAGGGATGTGTGGTGCTTGCTGCCCTTTGCACTTGGAGTTTTCACAGGAGGCAGGGCTGTGCTCCTCCTTCTGTCAGGCACAAGCAGCTTGTGTTTGAAGGCACAGGTGATTTTGTTTTCCTGCTCCTCTCATGCCCCATGAAAGTGATTAACTGCATTTTCATTTTGAAACTGAAAAGGAAGCATATCAGCTTGTGGTTCTGCCACTAAAATTTGGTTCACTGGCAATCCTTGTTTCTGAATCCTGATGATCATTTGATTTTGCTGGTGTATAATTTTGTATCTGCAGACTCAGGAAAACTTCAGCAGCTATTTTAATCTCTCTCTTCATGTCTATGGAATAAGTACTTTATAAAAAGAAGAATGCTTCTTGTACACAGTTGTATGGCAGTTTTAAAAAGGCAATTGTTTGGAGTCTAATGGTAATGGCATTTAACTGCATTATCTACTTGGCTTGATTACAGCTGACTCCTGGCATGTTCTGAATCTACAGTTACATCAAATAAGTGATAGAAGTCATAGAAACCTTGTTGAAAATAATGTTGTCTCTGAACATCAAATAACCTCTCATCAGCTTAGTCTTAGTACCAAACTTTTATTCTGATCTGATATAGGTCTCACTGTTTAAAACCTCAACTGTGAATCTCACTTTAGTTCAGAATTAGGTTTGGTTGTTGCAACCTCATCCTGTCATTTACTTGGTCAATTAGTATATTAAATATTGTATAAATACTTATGTATGATTGTTGTCAATAGATTACATGTGTCCCAAACATTGGAAGTATCCTACAATCATAGAATGGCTTAGGTTGGAAGGAACCTTAAAGATAATTTACTTGTATTTTGGAATACAATTAAATGACCTTATAAGTCCAGAAGGCATATAAATTTTACAAGGTTGATTCAAGTACCAGCCACAAGAAGGGGCAGTGCTGATAAATAATATTAATAGTTGGGCTTAATTCTTCATTAGCAGAAACGCTTGATTCCAAATAACTTTTTATTTCACTAAGAAGTTATGCTCTTGACTGTTTCAGATATTTGAAAAATCCTATATATATATAGTACAAGCTGAATACAAACCCTTTCTGCTATTAGGAAATCACAAAACTGATACTTGAAGAAAGACCTGGTGTTTATGCTGGGACACTTTTTTCTCCCACCTTTGGCAGCACACCTTCTAGAATTCCCCACTCTGTTGTTATTCAGACAAAGACACCTACTATCATAGACTGGCCCTAACCTGACTTCATCCTACCTCAGATCCTGCCTTCAGCTTAAATTCTTGCAATGCAGCTTGGGATTTTGAGTGAAGGAACCTGTTTGTAATGCAGCTATGAAGGGCAGCATTTCACAGTGACTCACAAGAAGAGATTTATTATGTACTTAGGAGATGTTACTTTTATGCATATTTTGCAAAACTGTAGGGAAATAAGTAGCTTTCTGTCCCCTTTCCCCTGCAGCAAAGAAATTTGACAGCTGTGAATGCAACAGACTGAAGCCATTTAGAGATGGATGTTTAAATTGTACAGCATTGATGGGATTGTTTAATAAGTATTCTCTCTTTTTCTTTCATTACATGAGGTTTTGCTTTTCTTGGATCACACAGATCTTGTAAAAATGTAACAAGCTACTATTCTGAATATGCCAAATTAGAAACAGATGGATCTCTTTAAAGAATAGTCTATCAGTAATATTAATGGGATCTCATGTTGAGGAACCAGGCACCTCCCTTTCCTTACGCCAGCCTTCTTGGCCTGAACAAAGAGGCTCTTCTAACAATGACTTGCACATGGCAAAGGAGAAGAAGGACCTGCAATATAAATCATGACATTTTTTTTCTTCTCAGAATGTATTTTTAATGTGCCATACCCTTGGCTATTATGTACAAGGTTTCCTGTGGTGGGCTGATTTGAACACAAGGCTTGACCCTGTTGTCAGTGTCTCTCTCACACTACAATTCAACAGGTGTAGTGGAGATCCTCTGACATAAGTGTCGTCCTCCCCAGTTACCATGTGGGGCTATACTCATGTAACTAAGAACCTTCTGAATAAAGAAAATTCCAGTTGGTATAGCAAACAGTATATAATACTCCTTAGGCATCAACTTATGCACGTGAGATTACAACTCCAGGTTTTGCATTATCTTTTTGCTTTAGCAGAAGGGGCCCTGTACTCTTCTGTTCTCTTGCCTTGTGTCACCTTTCTCAAGAAGAAAAGCTTGGTGGTATCAAAGGCTGAGTACCTCTTCATTAACAACAGCTTCTCATACCACATAACAGATATATTGCTGTGCTGTGAACTATCAAAACCGGACTTACCTGCTGTGCTGAAAGCCAGAATAGCAGCTTCAGATATAAATATGCTTATTAGACCCTCATAATACACTTGGTTTGTCAACCCCTGGTTTGTCTGTGAGACAGCCAAGTGGATAAAGGCAAGTGTGAGACAGATTCAGTGATTCCTGTAGCCACCCCAGCTGTTAAATGGGTGTCATGGACAAAGCATGTGAGTCACACAAAAGACGTACTTCAGAAAAGTAAAGTAATAAAGCTGAGGTGTTTCTTTACAGCTGTTATTTTTTTTTATTTGGGCTATTTCCAAAGTTGGGCGGAGGGGCTGTGCAGCACTTGTTTGTTGATGAAATGATAACTTAACCTAGATAAAGCACATGCATACTGTTATTTTAATAGAAGAAACAAGGCCCACATTTAAAAGGGAAATATAATACAGTAAACATCCTTTTGTACTGGCCTAGTTATTTTTCTAAACTTGTGCCAGGCTGAGATATTTGCCTTCCGAAGTACAATTTTTGCAAGAGTCTGCAAGTCATGTAATACCTTTTCCAGCAGCTGTTGAATGAGCCAAAGGTCTGTAGTTAAGTGGGAATTTTTGAACACTATTTTCTTTTCATCATTTATTGGAGTCTTTTTAAGAAGTCCTATTCATATTTAATGACCTTTTTGTGCATCTTCTGTTCAATACATTTT